GGCAGCCCAGACCCCCAGGCAGGATCAGACCCCTCTGTGGGCACTCCCCAGGTCCCAGCACCCCCAAACTCCTGTTCAAACCTGCTGCTTTGGTGGCACCGGGGTGAAAACACACCATGCACCGAGCCAGGAGCCTGGGGACATGGAGCCATCGTGTCTTTTCACCCCCATTTATTTCCCAGCTCTTGTGCTGAGACAGTAGAAACCTCTGGGGCTGCCAAGGCAGAACCAAACCCCCCGGCGCTCCAGGCCAGGGCAGAGCTGGCTGCCGGGATCCCACCCATGAGGTACCCATGGGGGCACTGTGGTTTCCCCACACACCCCAGCTCCTCGCTGGAGCATTGGGCATCACAGCCCTGGCTGGGGACAAAGCCCCTTCCATCCCCGCAAGCCAACATGGGCCATGTGGGGCCTTTCCCATGGCCCAGTTTGTCCCCAGCTCCTCCACCCTCATTTCTCCCCCACTGATTCCCCCCTCCAGCGGCCCTGGCAGCCCAGGGCACCCACCATGAGTCGCCCAACGGCATCGCTTGCACCCAGCTCAGAGCCAGGCGCTCCGCCACACGTTCTGACACGGCAACTCACCTTGCAGCACCCAAATGGAGGGAAAGACCTTTCCCTCCCCCTCCGCCCCATCTTCCCCATTTATCTGCACTGAAGCACAGATCCCATTTCCCCTCTCTCCTTGCTGGCCTGGACCTCTCCTACCTTCAGCAAGGCCCTGATGTCTTTTCCCAGGCTCTGTCTTCCGCAAATCCCCCGCGACGCCTTCCAGCCGCGGCTGCTCGCTGCGGGTTCAGGTGGAACCGCCGGCTTCGGTCACATCTGTGAGGACAAAGGTGGCCACAGAGGGTTGAGGTAGGGCAGGAAGCGGGCGGTGGTGGTGGGAAGGAGAGGAAGAGACGCCCACAGGCTTCCCAATCCGCTGGCTTTCACTTTTCCCACACTGATTTTTAAGTCCTTAAATTCCCATCACGGGATGCCGGTGGCTCTGTCCCCAGGGGGTCCAGGACGGTGCAACCCAGCAGATGTTTGCTGTTTAATCGCACACGGCAGGGACAGGATGTGGGGCTCGGTGACTCACGTGGGGTGTCGAAACGACCGGGTGCAGCTGCAGCAGGGGGAAGGCTGCTCTCACCACAGACACCCCATGACCCCCACCCCTGCGCAGGAAGGAACTGGAGCTTGGTCCTTCCTGCCCTGGCGGGAGGGAAGGGGAGGGCGCCGGGGCCATGGCATCCAGCGCAGCCCTGGGGTGCCCAACGCTTGTGGGTGCAACAGGCAGCCCCGCCGCAGAAACACGCTTTTTGGGGAACACACAGCCCTGCGACGGGGTGCAGCCATCTCAGGGTGCAGAGCCAGGGCAGGATTTGGCCTTCTCCAGGCACATCCATGAGCCTGCCTGGGGCAGGAAAGGATCCAGAGCCAGGATACAGCCCCCGGTGCCCACTGCGATCTGGTCCTGGGTCCTCTTGGCCTCCAAGCAAGTCCCACAAGCCCAGCCTGAGCCAGCCCGAGCCAGCCCATCCCGTCCCCCCGCTGTGCTATGGGGCAAATCCCAAATGCTGATTTGGGTGCTGGAAGAGGGCCCCTCCACATGTCCCCCGCTGCGAGGGCCAGGGCATAGCCTCAGCACCCAGGCATGACTGGGGCCCCAGCACCCAGACCCACTCACAACCCTCCTCTGGCCCGAACCCTGGTGCTTTCTGCTTGCTGAATAAAAAATAATAATGATTAATAATTATTATTACTATTATTTTGCCTGGGGAATAGAGAGATGGCTTAAACAGGGCAAAAAGGCACGCTCCGTCCCTTCCTACTGAAATATTCTACTTTATTTCTGCTTTTCCATGGAATAAACTGGAGAAGAGAGAGAAGCCCCAGGTGCAAAGGCTGGTTTGTGATGGGCACATGACTGCTGAGGCACAGACCCAGCCTGGGGAGGACCAGTCCCCCCAGCTGGGACTGGAGCTGGGCACTGGAGTGGGATGGGCACAGGGGGACCCACCACAGGTACCGGCCAGCCTCCGCACAGCACCCAGCCCTGGCCCTGCGCCGGCTCAGCTCCAGTCCAACACCTGATCCCCAGCAGGGAGAGGGGCAGGGTGAGGCCAGCATGGTGGCCAAGCTTCCACGTTCCCCCCCAGGGGAAACTGGAGAGCGGGGCCGGATCCGCTTACGGCCCTTCCATTATTCAGGAGCCCGAGCAGGACAAAGCAGAGGTAAAACAGGGCCCCACGCAGCAGGGAGAGCATCGCGGCTCTGGCCATCATGATGCTGATCTAGGGATCTGTTTCCACATGACCAGCGACTCTTTCGACTCACGTCCTACAGGCAAGAGTGAATATTTACACCCAGAGCCCTGGCAGGGACCACAGAGACCAGTTGTGTCACAGCCCCACTGCATCCCACCCCTGGAGGACACAGAAAAGGATTTTTTTTTGGCAAGCAACCTTCAAGAGAGGCTGGGCTTGGGGGACAGGGCGGAAACTCCCCCTGCTTGGGAATGAGGTCTGGCCAGGAGTCATGGAGCAAACCTCAGCACGGGGTTCCCATGCTCTGGGAAGGGGAAAACACGGTGCCCAGCCACCCTACACGTGGGCAAGCAGAGCCCAACCTGTGCAGCATCCCTGCTGCCTCCCTGCATGGGTCGCAGCCGGTCCCCGATCCCTGCCAGCACAGCTCCATCACTTGAGTCATCTTAAGGTTGGCTACTTGCAAAGGAAAAGGTTGGAAATTGTTCTTCTACATTTTATACATTTCAGCCCTGGAAAAGGCTGGCATGGGAGAGGCACCTCTTTGGGTTAGGGGCATCTGTCCCTATTTAAACATCCTTATCTGAAACCAGCAAGGCTGCCGGGAGCAGGAAACCCCCACCCATCTGCTGCCTGCCCTGACAGCCCGAGCCACCCACAGCACTCGGAAACGGCTGCCCAGGGAGAGGTACAGGGCTCAAAACTATTCATCATCTGGAGCAGGTGCTGCTGGAGTTACTCTGCCCCAGAACACGAAACAGATCCTGGACACGCCATGCAGCCCATCAGAACATACTCCTGCTTTCACAGATGTCAGAAAGACGCAGCCCTAAGATCTGTTCTGTATTTCTTCACAAAGCCAGAGCAAGGCACAGGCCAGCGTTCCCAGTCCCCGCTCAGCCAGGTCAGTTCTACACGGGCGAGGGCAGAGCTTTAGGCAGATGCCAGCCTGCTCCGTCCTCCTGCCACCCAGCCTGGAGCCAGGAACCGAACACCTCTGCCCCCACCCTCCACAGCACAAGCAGCAATGTGCCTTGGCGCTGGCATCACCGTGTAAGAGAGAAGAGTTTTCAGGGTATGTAGCGGAAAACGCCTTGAAGCACATTTGTCAAAGTGCCTCGGATCCTGCCAAAACCAGGCTCTGATTGAACAGACACCTCCCTAGGGGAGCGAACAGCAGCCCAGAAAGAGCTCCTGCCCAAGGCAACAGGTAACTGGGCAAGCTGAGGATGTTCCACTTACTGAACTCCAGTGGAAGGAACTCCACCCCATGACCACCAAGGACTCGTCACCAAGATTAGTGGTGCTGGAACCACCGCAACGAGATGACCGTTATTTATCCGTTGCCCTGGAGCAGCCGCCTCCTGCACAGGCACCACCGCGTCTGGCACCACTCCTATGGAGTGCTGCAGCCCTGACACCCAGCTCCAGCACCAACTCGACACCGTTCCCCTCCTGCACCACAATGGCAACCACAACGCAGCCTGGGCTCCACTGTCCTGGGAACCAGCTTCCTTATCAGTTATGGCACATTTTTCTCACCCTGTATCTCTACTTCAACTAATCTTGTTTCAAAACTTACCTGTTGGCATCAACGCATTCAGCAGCAAGGAAAGGGGAACTGCGAGACAGGAGTTTGCCCACATGTGTTTCAAGTCAACAGCACAGAGCCCCTAATGCAGAGCCAAGTCTGGGGGCGATGTCCTTGGTAGCGATTTACAGAGCAGCAGAGGCACACAGAGGAAACTCCTCGCAGGCTACGGGGATCATGGGGTATTTGCATATTAAATTCAACCAAACTCCCTCTCCTTCCGGGAGCTTCGCTAAATATTACACACGGGAAGCGCTCAGTTACTCCTGCTTGAGACAAGGTCTGATGTGAAACAGGACTGAGGAGCTAATCATCAGGCAGCAAAACTCAGCCCAGGGTTTCTGGTTCCACTGTTGCTCTCCTGCACTCCAGCACCTCCTCCACGAGGCCCCGTCTGTCAGCAGCGAGATGTCCACCCGCTGAATTAAATCTCCAGCCCATTTCATTCTGGACACAATAGACAGACACAGCCTCTGTACCCTTCTCCCTTCTCAATCAATCCAGCACCACAGAAAACTTCGGGGTTGCTTCTTCCTCACAGAAATTAATGTTTAGTCAGGAACCAGATCACCGATTGCTGCCGGGCTTTCCAGTGCCAACAGGCAAACACTGCTCCGCTGCTCTTAGAAAGGACACAGAGTCAAGTCCTTCATCACTGCTTCAGTTATTTTAGTTTATCCCCTCCATCTCCTCTCCCTCTGCTTATCTCCTCTGAAAGCACCTTCTGGTTGTAAGGGTTTAGATCTTCTTTTCAAAGAGGAAACATCAAGGTGAGAACTTGGAGTATTTTTTACATTCAAGAAAGACTTTTGCCTTACAAATCCTCTTTGTTTGACCATTTATGCTTTTTTCTTTCCTTAAACTCCTACCTGTTGGGCTGTGAATCAGCATTATTGTTGATCACTGCTGCTTTGCTTCCTGTTTCTCAGACACTGAAATATCACATCGGGTTTGAATGCAATCATGCTGCAGTAAAACAAACACGGATTATTTTTTTTGTAAATTGTTGCTGGTCATATTAAATCTGGAAAGCAAAACCTCCTGCTTCTTCCCGAACAGAAAACAGGACCACCTTCATTAGCACCAAAAGGATTTTAAATGAACAGTTCCAGGGAGCTGCTTTCAAATCATAAAACGTGAATTTTACATAAAAGTGTGTTTACAAATAGTTTCTGCTTTACACTCAGCTCTGCCCATCACTGACCAGAAGTTATATACATACAGACTAGCTCAGTAGCTTCAACCACTTGCAAGGAGACTGCAGAATTTATTTAAGAAATAAAAATAGGATTTCCTGGTTCCTAGAAATTCTCTTCAGCCTGCCAGATTCAGTCACCTGCCGGCTCCTGCAGACTCAGGAGAGCACTAAGCTTTTGGAGAGAAGGGGTACTGTGGGTGCCACCAATCCAGGAGCCGCACGCTATGCACAGGGTCCAGCACAACCTGCACTCCTTGGTCAAGGCGAGGTTTCTTGCCATTGCGGACTGGGGCGTCCTGGAACACCAGGCGCACGCGATGATGCCTCATGTCTGTGCTCACATTGATGGTGAACTGCAAGAAAAGAGATCAGGAGGAGCTTCAGAAAGGTCAACGTGATGAATAAATGAGTTCTTAACAGCACACTTTTAGAGATTTTTTTTTTTTTAAATTCTTCTAAATTGTACAAGTCTATGATATGCATGTCCAGAGGAGAGCAACAAAGCTGGGGAAGGGGCTGGAGCACAAGTTTTATGAGGAGCAGCTGGGGGAGCTGGGGTTGTTTAGTCTGGAGAAGAGGCTGAGGGGAGACCTTATCGCCCTCTACAACTACCTGAAAGCAGGCTGTAGTGAGGTGGGGGTCGGGCTCTTCTCCCTGATAACAGACAATAGGATGAGGAGAAATGGTCTGAAGTTGTGCCATGGCAGGGTTAGGGTGGACATTGGGAAAAATTCCTTCTCCGAAAGGGCTGTCAGGCACGGGAAGGGGCTGCCCAGGGAAGGGGTCATGTCCCCACCCCTGGGGGGATTTAAAAGCCGGGCAGACGAGGTGCTTAGGGCCAGGGTTTGGGGGTGGGATGGCAGGGGTAGGGGAACGGTTGGGCTGGGGGAGCTTAAAGGGTTTTTCCAACCCCATCAATTCTATGATTCTATTCTATTTCAGGTGCTGGTAGAATTACACTGAATCGACAGCACTGGATTCAAACCAGTTCTCTCTGGCTGGCAACCCCAAATAATAACACCAGAAGGGAACCCAAAAGCAAGGGGCTGTCAGAGGAAGTCTGCAACTCACTGCCCTACTCTCAAGTGAAACCAGACCAAACCTCTCTTGGGCACAGGTCACTTTGGAAACCCTGGCTTACCAGTACAGCCACGGGTGCTGCCCCACACTCTACCGCTGCTCTTGCCTCAGCACGCCTGCTCTGCTGCTATCTGGAGTTGACTTTGTGGAAGTCAGGTCAAAAGCTGCTCTTTCTCTCAGCCATCAGGGACCATACACACACTGAAAGTTTGCTCATATGGGTCTTTGCTCTCAGAGTTTATTGCCTCCTGAGGAGGGAAGGCCTCCTCTTCTCCTGCATCCCCACCTCTTGTACCATGCTGGAGTATGGTCAACTAATCTGCCCCCAGATGCTGTGCAACCACAGCTCCTTGCAGATTATCTACATCCTCTGTCTTTGCTGCACCAAATAGGGAAGAGCTGATGGAAATGCAGAAGCTAAACTGAGGAGATCCTCAGCATTTCTTCTAATCATTCACCTTAAGATTCCCAGGATCGGGTTGTAGATGCAGCAATACGATCTACACAACACCAAAGAGGTGCCCCCTCTTTATCTCCTTACAGAAACTGAACGTGCAAAGTTTGCCCAGCAGATTTCTCAAGCACTTACCAGGGTAAACGTCATACCCATGACTATTGGCACGAATATGAAGTTAAAGGTGGTGATCTGCAGTAGACAGCAATCCTGATCCGGATTTGTATGGACTTCTTCATACTGAATGGGTGGCTGAAGACCTTTGCAACACTTGCTCTTAAATCTGGGAGACTTGAAAGAAAGAGAGACTTATTTAGCTAAGCAGGCACCTATGATGAGAGTTTGGCGGCTTCTCACCGGAGCTGACTGGCAGGTTCTCACCGCAGTCCCACGCGTTTGGGCAGAGCATTAGATAAACAACAAAAAGCCATCACTCAGGACAAGCAATTTGCAGGACCATTTCTTTAGAGGGGAAAGCTGCAAAATTCCCAAGGTTGCCTAAAACTACTTGCTTCTCCTGAGACCCATTACTGCAGGTTCCCCTTGGCAGTGTTGGCTTTCTTCACTTCTCTGGGAAATCTTTCCAATGGTAAAACAAGAAGAGTCACATTTTGATCACTAGAGTAAAATAGTCTGGGTTTTGGTAATAATCAGTAGTGATGACCTAAAGATTAGATTATTTGGGGTAACACATGATCCCCATCTTACAGTGGAGAAAGGATACCAGATGAGGAAATAAAAACATAGGATTCTAAATGTCTTGGTAATACAGACAGAAAACTGAGTGTAGTTTCAGAATGTGCTTTAGTTTGTCACAGGAGTCAGAGTTTCCATTTGTTGTATGGACACATAAAAAGTTTCCACCTTCCTTTCTACCACCCAGAAAAATCCTTACTGCTTCAAAAAAAAAAAAAAAAAAAAAAAAAAAAAGTCACAGCCATTCTGGTTCTTCTTTCATACCTGCTTTTTGAACTTGAAGTTGAATTCCCACATTGCTTCTTGTCTGTTCCCTTCAATCTTTTTGCACCAGAAAAGCAGACACTGGGGGGTTTTTTTTGGGGTGGGGAAGAAAAGAAAAACACAGAATTATGAAACCCTTAGAGGCACCACTTTAAGTAAGTTTTAGCAGAGCATAAAAGCTTCCAATTACAAACACAATTAAATAGAAGCAGTTAGGAGCCATTTATTCAAATTAATTATGTTCAAATGAATTATGTTCAAAGAACACACTCGGCACTTTTAGGTTTCCCGGTTTCAAGTTGGCCAACTCATCATGCAACTGGATGATACAACGCATAGCCACTGCTGTGCTAAACAGAAAAATCCTGTTGCGCAATTTGGCCCTTTCATAAGGCAGAGGTGAGTGGTACAGATTCACCTGTCTGCCCCACCCACCAAGAGCTCCCAGTAAACTGGGACTAAAGTTTAGACTAAACAATACTAAAGCGAGGAACTGGAAACAGAATACGGATCAAGGAGGAGAGAATCCAGAGGGAAACGCAAAGACCAATATACGAGCTACGAGGTGACAGATGAGAAAGTTCCTAAGCCACTGTGGTGTCAAAAGAAGGTCTTGACATCATCACGCACTGACTGTCGCACTTCAGAGTATAAAAACACCACCAGGATAGCACAGTCTGATCAACCTACTGCGCCTTTTTAAAAGAAAATGAGAAAAGGGCTTCAAACGACATCAGAGGCAACCAGCACTGCCTTCCCATGCAGACATACACCAGGAATACTCCAATTTAATCCAGTTATCACTGTGTGGTCCACAGGATCCATCCCAGCATGCAGCACTTCTTCTAGAGCCGGAGTCTCAGCAGAACTCCTGTATTATAAACTGGGTAGGAGGGAAATTCCCTGCCTACCAGTGAGTAGAAGCAACTAGCCTTCAACAGCCGAGACAAGAACCTGGCAAGTCAGCCCAGCCATCACTGAAAGTATTTCCACACTACAGATGCCAGCCCACCCCAGCTGGTCTTA